TGTTAAGATGTGTTATCCAAAAATTAAAATATACATATTTAAGAAACCCAAGCTACTCAATATTTCATCTTGAATTCAAATTCAGTCAGGTGTGTAGTGCTTACGGCTCGTTTACGCTGAAAAGCATATATGTGAATTGACAAATTATAATGGATATCGTTGCACTGAGAACCAAATACAAGAGTATGACTTTAATGCAGACATAGAACGACGACTGAAAACAGAAACAAATTTCGATACAAACATCTTTATAAATTATCTGCTCAATGAGCATTATCAACCCCCAGATCTATGTCGGATTAATATGTGATGTCACTGCAAAAGTGCAGTTGGCAGCAGTGTGAAAAAAGTAAAATAAAATTCATTCTCAGGTAAGTTGTACATTCGTGATAAATGACAAATAATAAATTAATAAAATATTATAGATGATTATTATTATTATTATTATTATTATTATTATTATTATTATTATTATTACTTTTATTATTATTATTATTATTATTATTATTATTATTATTATTATTATTATTATTATTATTATTATTATTGTGCTGAAAATTCATGGTAATTTGTGATAGGATCTTTTGAATAGGTAGCAAAAATTCAAAATATTGAAACTTTTGAAACCAATTTATGTATTTGCAACTTTATATATGCAATAGGTCTGAGCCTTTCCAATAAGTTATGAAATTCACCCCAATTATAGTTTTGAATCACACATACAGCTTATAAATCTAATTCATGCCTTTTCTTCTTCTATCGATAAGCATTATTGGACATCTTAAATTTACAGATAACTTTTCTTTTTGTCTCCAAGCAAAATTCGTAACTATTTTTCAAAAATTAAATCTGCTTTAAACATATAATGCATTATATAATGCCCACAAAACAAAAAGAAATTAAAAAAAAAAAACAAAACAACCAACTGCTAACACCTCTTAAGTAATCTGTGGTGGGTGACTTTGTAGTTGTTATGCGGAAAATTCCGGAGGAGGGAACTTTATGTATGAATAGAAATGCCTGTCCTACAGCAAAGATTTTGATAGATAGCTGGAAACGTTATATATATATATATATATATATATATATATATATATATATATATATATATATATATATATATATATATATATATATATATATATATATATATATATATATATATATATATATTAATATATATATATATATATATATATATATATATATATATATATATATATATATATATATATATATATATATATATATATATATATATATATATATTTAAACACTCACAAACTAATTGTTTGCGTAACGATACATCCTGAAAGTATGTCAGATATCACTCTTGTCTACAAGACATGTGTATAATAAATAGATAAATAAAAATAATAAATAAATAAATAAATAAATAAAAAATAAATAAATAAATAAATAAATAAATAAATAAATAAATAAATAAATAAATAAATAAATGGCTTGATGAGTGAATGAATAATACATACATACATACATACATACATACATACATACATACATACATACATACATACATACATACATACATACATACATACATACATACATACATACATACATACATACATACATACATACATACATGGGGCCTGGAGTGGCCGAGTGGTCTAAAGCACTGTTCGTTATGGATCACTGCCATCTCACCTCTGTCTGCGTGAGTTCGAGTCTAGGATTCGGCGAATGTGGATAAGTGAGAAAGCTTGCCAGTAGCTTCTCGTGGGTCGGTGGTTCTTTCCGGTGATTTCCCGGTTTCTTCCTCCACCATTAATACTGGCCGCCATGAATAGCCTATCGTGTGCTGAAAAATCGCGTTAAGCCCAACAACAACAACAATACATACATACATACATACATACATACATACATACATACATACATACATACATACATACATGTCTTCCAATATAATCTTGTCATATTATTGTATTATACTTATGATCAGTATGAGTTATGGATGATACATGGATGGGACTTAATTGCCCTTAATGTCAGCAACTGACTTTACTGATTTTGAATGGTTGCGATATCAAATCATTCGTAGTTGACACATTTAGTTCCAGATCCTACAAAATTGGGACGAGACTAGTTCAAAACGGTTTTAGTTAACTAGTGTACCCAAGAAAAATAACGGTCTTTTGTTATGTAGCCATAAATATGTATATTTTTATTTCTGTTCTATCACGTAGTGGAAAACTAAAGTAACTACTAGCATACAAACAAATGGCTTAAAACGTGACGTTGTGACATTTAGTGAACAAAATTATTTCATTACTGTCAGTAGTGACTGCCGTCAATGTCAACCATTTGAAATTTAAAAGAGTAAAATTATTCCATGTAAAGAGTGTTGAAACCACATTTACACACGGAAACACTTTTACAGTATTTTACATTGCGCGTAGCCAGGAAAGTGCCTTGGGTGCAGTCATGCTGTTTGTCTTTGTATTTGATTCTTGTGTGTGTGTGTGTGTGTGTGTGTGTGTGTGTGTGTGTGTGTGTTTGTGTGTGTGTGTTTACTCATGTACATACATAAATCCGCCAACCTAATTTGGCTGGTCCACATACTTATTTCAGAATATCATTAAATATAACCGGATCCTTTCACGAGATATAGAAATTGATCAGAATCCTTACAGCCGTATAAGGTGATCGGACGTCAGCAGCTGAATTTTAGAAATATCTGATTTATGACTGACATAAAGACTCAGAGAATATTTTTTCCTTGGATTGCAATGACACATCAAATATCGATATATCCGATGAGATGTAAATATAAAATAATAACATCTTCAGGCTACAGTCATGTGTTACAGCAATAAAATTGATGGTTGCACGAAACTGATGCATTTAGTAAATAAATCAATACAATACAATTTTTGGTTGCATAAACATAATTTTACCTCATAAAGAGATACTCAAAATTATGTGGACAGATCTGTGTGCGCTCGGTTTTTCAATTTACCATCACAACTGATAATTGTTATAAAGCATGCATGTCATTAGGGTCACGTTCATCTGGATATTTGGGCGTTCGTTATCTCTCTCTCTCTCTCTTTCTCTCCTTTCTCTCTCTCTCTCTCTCTCTTTATATATATATATATATATATATATATATATATATATATATATATATATATATATATATATATATATATATATATATATATATATATATTGCAGAAAAATCTGGTGTCACATTGATAAATATAATATAAACCATTAAGTAAGGGCTGATGATGAGGTTCTGATGATGATAATTTAACGTTAAGTTGTATATCGTTGCACCGAATATTATGAAAAAAGTAACATATAACAAATCTTCTGCATACATTTATAAATTTTGTCTTACTACTTCATATCCAGTATATGCAATGAATTTTAATGTTCATAAATAATGTTTTCCATTTCACGAAGTTGATATTATGTTTCTATGAGGAGGTTTCTTTAGTTGATTTGTTGCTGTGTTATTTGTCGGAGAAAGGGGTTACGTACAGGTCGTTTCTTATTCCAAAGGTGTAATTTCATATGCGAGACAAAAAGGTTGAAATGGTAGAACACACTTACTGGTTTTGAGACTAGACACCTTACTGAATGTAAAACAGGTGGGACATTTGGTCTTTATTCAGACGATCTTTTCTCAAATGAGAAAGAAACTTAACCTCACTGTTCAATCGTTATTGTAAGGAGCGTACTGGCATTTTACACCAGGTGAAAGAAAAAAAGATTTCCAATATAAGTAAACGAGTGCATTTTTATGCAGTACTTTAACACTATGTATATTAACTGGATGGATATATGAATTATTGAGTATATTTCATGGGGATTTACACCCCCTCCACTTCACCAAACATTATGAATTCTTTTACAAGTTTAAAGAAAATTGAATATCCTTTAGTTTTGACAATTTCAATGAATTTGTGGCTTATTATTATCATACATATCATCATCTATCTGTCCCATATACTTCTTACTCTATCAAATGCTTTATCGATCTGACTATCCTGCCGTTTATCAAGCCATCCATCTATCCATCCATATGTATGTATATGTGTATGTATGTATGTTTTCTTTTCTTATCCATTTTCTTGTCTAATAAATGCAAAATCTCCCCCCCCCCTTCCATTTCACCAGGGTTAGTCTCCAGCGGATAAGTCCAAATCCTGAAAGTATTTTTTCATATATACATATAATCTCAATCATACCCAAGGATAAGCTTTCATCTGGAACAGTGTTGTTGTTGTCCGCTATTATGTACCCTCGCACGCATGTACGTACGGGCATGATCACATATTTCCCGCTATTTCTTTGGAAAAAAGGCAAGGATAATTTTCCTTAGTAGTTGTTAATTCAATTCAAATATATATGACAATAATTCATAATAGTATGACTTAACAATATGAATAGTATGACTTAACAATATGAATAGTATGACTTAACAATATGATCAAATAGAATGACTTAATAGCATGACTTAACAATATGACTTAATATTATGATTTAAGAGAATGATTTAATAGTATGAATTAACAATACGACTTAATAGTATGACTTAAGAAAATGACTTAATAGTATGACTTAACAATATGACTTAACATTATGATTTAACAATATGACTTAATAGTATGACTTAACAATATGATTTAATAGTATGACTTAACAGTATGACTTAATAGTATGACTTAGCAATATGACTTAATATAATGACTTAATAGCATGACACATTCACCGCGAAATAAGCCCCAATGATCAGGAAGACAGAGATTCACATATTTTTAAATTGGATTTATCATAGGATATTAAAATTCGACAAATGTACCTTTATCACTACTGGCATAAATTTCTTATGCATGTATTATTATATATAGTAAATGACATCATTGGGTCGTAAAGATCATTATTTGAAAAGGAATCGACTGTAATCACTGACAAGAAGGGGACGCAATTGTAAATTTAGAAACGGACACTTCTTTAGCATAACCGCTCCGGTGGCCTAGTGGTTAGTGCATCCGCATCAGATGCGGGAGGTCGTGGGTTCATCCCCGTCCGAGTCATACCAAATACTTACAAAAATGGTAGTAACAGCTGCCTCGCTTGGCGTTCAGCATTAAGAAATTAGTTTTAGGAATGGTCGGACTGGTTTCAGGATAATGTGACTTGGTGGTATATCATAATAAATCTGCGTGCATGTGCTTCTCGTTACTACAGAAATTAAGCACTTTTAGCAAACAGGAGAATGGGCATATATTCTAAATAAGAAAATGAAGAGACAAATTTCCAACACAAAACTTTATAATTAAGAGATAAATTCATAACACATATTTAGAAGGTTTTTGTACATATGCATGAAAATGGCTGTTAAAATTTATTCACTTTTTTCAAAGATGTGACTCTCTTAACGAGGACATTGTGTATGGCATATCCGTGATTTTAAATGAAACAAATACTTTAAATACACAAAATCGAAGGATAAAACCATCACACACAAACAAAACCTTTTTTTTCTTACATTCATGCATATAACCAACTGTTAGAACATATATAACTGTGTGATAATGCAAGGATATGAAATGAATGGTGGCACAGGTAATCATTTAACAAAAGCTCGAATATGGTTACAATTCATTACACTTAATTAAAGTGTTAGCCAAATTTATTGCATAAGCCACTGTTTCTATAATAAATACGTCATCTGATTGTTCTGCAATTCCATATACATTTTCTTTTGTTTTAAGTGCTGGTGAGCTCAAACATGTATATATGCTTGCTCTAAGTTTGGGCTGGTTTGGTTTAGTGTTTTACAGCACATCAACATTTAAGGTTATATCGGAAACAGCCTTGTGCGAGAAACGCACACACACACACACACACACACACACACACACACACACACACTAAGGTAGCCGATTCAGGCTGATCCGATTGGGGAATTCATACCATCACCTTTCTGGCCACAAGTCAAACACCTTAACCACTGAAATTCCGTAATTCCATAACAGTTTAGTTTAAATGAAGCGTGTATAAATTATTATATGCATTACATGCTATCTGAAATTGATGCTCACTTTTGAGCTTTTTCGAGCAAAATCCTTTGATTTCTTTCTTCCCTGTAACAGCCATGTTTCTATTCAAACTTTATGAACTTATCTAACAAATGGAGGGATGGCAGTTTTGTGTTTATATGTATTCATATTCTCCTATTTAAAATGATTTTATATCTTTATTAATTAATATAACAAATGAGATCAAAGTCTGGAACAAAAAAAAACTGATTCAACAATCTCTGATCCTTAGTTCAAAGTTTATGCAAAAAGATTTGGTGCCATCAGATGGATATATCCAAAAATAATGTTAAGTTATCATCGTGATTAAAGTAGCAGAACATGCACAATTTCTATTTTTATTAAACACACGACCCCCCCTCTCTCTCTCTCTCTCTCTCTCTCTCTCTCTCTCTCTCTCTCTCTCTCTCTCTCACACACACACACACACACACACAGAGATCTCAATTGCGTATAGTAAAATTTCAATACCGTAAACTTAAGTATTATTGTATTCTTCATAAATTATCACGTATAACACTATCATAAGTAGTGTTGTACTGCTAAATATTTTAATCCCATACTTCTCTGTTCGTAAATTAATACAGCATAAATGCTCTATCAATAAAGTTTCAAACCACATATATTTCCTTAAAAGTTTATTTACGTTTTTTAAATACCACTACACTTATTGTACCAATCAACTTTTATTGCATTCTTTAGTATTCCTGAAGAAAAAAAAATCACAAATATTTGTCTGAATTTTTGCCTGGAAATTTTGCTAACTAGTAATGATTTTTACTTGAATTTAGTAGAAAGCATAATTAAAGTCTAAACAATAAATGACAGAGTTATTTGCGTTCGGCCATGTTGGTTTTGTGTATGACGACAACGCAGACTGGCGTGATTCGACCGGTTCAGGAAACGTCACTTACACTCCAAATTCCAGTCATTCAAATACAAACATTTTTAGAAAATGTAACATAACCTATACTGACTTTTATAACACGTTATATCCAAGTTAGTTCCTAACATAAAAAGACAGTAATGGTCCATCTAAAGATCTAACTAATACACTGGGTTTCATTACAACAGCAGAAAAGTAGATAAAATAGATAAAGATCTTAATTATTGTAGATTACTATTTCTAAAAGCTTATTTATTAGTGCAGTATCTATTGTTATCTAGTGTTATCTAGTGTTTGGTGTGCAAAAGTAAATCTTTCGTTGCAATAACATTAAAACCATAAATAGTAAATAAATAAATAAATAAATAAATAAATAAATAAATAAATAAATAAACTTAATGTTTGGTTGTGTTTCACCTATTTTTTAAAACCTTCCCACCAGTATATGTTTTCTAATTAATGTTAACTGTTAACCTCATTTATTACAATAATGAATGAACTCCTCTAATTAACACTGAATGCCTTGTACAGTTTCCAATGAGAAAACTACGTCGCCCTCAAATGACACCAAAAACAAAACAAAACAAACAGGAAAAATTGTCTCCTTTGGGAAAATGTTGAATATTCGAACCTTTCACCTTGTGCATTTTTCTAGAAATGTTTATGCAAAGTTTCTTTAATAGCTACACGTGATTCAATTTCATTATGTTATGCAATGAAGAGATTCTGTGGTGAGTCATTTTGTCTTAAATAGCTGCCTACATCCACCTTTTAGAATCTGCCAACATTAAATCACACTCGCTTGATGTTTGGTGGTACTTAGAGATTAAACATTCCATTCCGTCATGATTTTCATTATTGAGATTTAAAAGCTTAATCACTCCACAGGAACAGTAAGGTAACTTTTTGAAAACCTATTCATGTCGACGCACGGATCATTTTACCGGGGTTACAAAGTGTAGCCAGGTACGTCAGGTACATGTACAAACTTAACTCTGCATCACAGAATACATTTGTTATCAATAGAGCAAACAAAGCCATACATAACTCTCGAGTGATATTAGTTGATAATATATCCGAGAAGTACTATATTTGACATTTTTTATTTCATATGTGTCTGTATGAGTAAAAGATAACCTTAAAAAGGAATGAACACGTTTATGTTATATCTGACTTGTGGTCATTTGATCCTCAAATTTGCATTTAGACGTCCTGGGCTCGAAAAGGAATGAAACTTAACCCCCTGTCCTTGGTTGCTATTAATAATCTTTAGTAATCAGCGTACTGAAATCTTACACCATATGACTGGGGTAAGATTAGCAATATCAGTTAGGGAGTGCATTTTTTGTTAGGTACATACATACTGTATACGTATAATAATTATTCGCACGGGTTTTCACCCTTCACATCCCACCAACTAAAATTAATTCTTCCAAATCTAAAACCGAAATTCATTCATTTCTGACCGCTTCCAGGGATTTATGGCGAATTATGTCATACATCTGCCTCATACATCACTGTCTACCACATGCATACATATCTATAGGGATGTATATATGTAAGCATGCATGTATGCACGATTGTACATATTCATTCATGTATATACGTATGAAATTACTATACATGTCATTTTTCTATTTTCTTGTTTCTGCTTTTGTCAATTTCTTTTACAGATATCTCAAAAGTATTTGACTCACATATACGATTTTAGTTGGTGTTTATATTCATCGATAAAATAAACACGAAGTAAACCAATAATAATAATAATAATAATAATAATAATAATAATAATAATAATAATAATAATAATAATAATAATACTATAGTTCATCGTACTGTGGGAAAGCTTTGAGATAAAAATAACATAAATCCCAGTCTAGTTTTCATAAAACACAAATAAAGTTGACACAACATAATGAAACTAAAAATAGCCAATCTGTGTTATATGTTAATGAGACTAGAAATAATTATTCATGCAATGTTATTCAGAGGGATTAGAGACAGAGTTTGACACAGATACGATTACTTTTGAGGCTCACAGCACCGTATACTCTAGTATGCCCCCTTTGGCCAGCCATGTGAAGTACCTTCATCAAATGCTAAAATTTACCTTTCATTGTCTGTCCAATTGTCAACTAGCATATTGTCTCCAGTTATGTAATCCGTATTCTTTCTTTTCCAAGGAGTACCGTATTCCTCAGCAGATATTTATTTTTAGGTGGTGTGAGTGAATACTATGCGATGAATGTGAAAAATATGCTGCGATTTGTGCGATTTGTCGGGTACAACAATTTAAAATTAAGAACGACACTATGGGACCCTACGAGAACTGAACGTGGTTAGAACAGCACGAGGGGAAAGAGAATTTAAACATTAGGTTTAATACTTCAGTGTAGCTATGGGAACTTAACATTAAAGATGGACTGGGACTGGGATCACAGTTATTACTTCCAGTAGAGTAAACACGACTGTAATTCCAGTCTATTTTTCGAGCATTTTCTTCCTTGCATTTTGGTAGTGACACAAGAGCTATATTTAGGCATTAAAGTAATTATTTATGCTTTAGAATATGAGCATTATGGTGAAGTTGTCTGTGTTTATTTTGCGACAATGCATATTGAGTAATGAGGCAAAAATACTAATCAAGAAATGAAATCTGTGACCCATTGTACATTGCTTTGTTTAAAGTCTTGCCTTTCAACGAAAGCAGTCGAACGTATGGCACGAACTTCACCATTAGTTCGTTTTTAAAGCATTCTAGATTAATATACAATTTATTAGCATTTGGAGAATGGAAAGTTCAGTACTGGGAAACACATGTGTAGATTATATAGGTAATATAACTGATCTGAGTCTGGGGTTATAGAAAGTTAATAGTACGTTTTGGGATGGTATGGAGTCCTTTAGGACGGTATGGGATTATAGAAAGTTAGTATTTCGTTTTGGGATGGTATGGAGTCCTTTAGGACGGTGTGGAGTTATAGAAAGTTTGTATTTCGTTTTGGGATGGTATGGAGTCCTTTAGGACGGTATGGGATTATAGAAAGTTAGTATTTTGTTTTGGGATGGTATGGAGTCCTTTAGGACGGTGTGGAGTTATAGAAAG